CTTTGTTTCACTGATCCGTTCCCTTTGTTCTTCTCTTGGAAAGACAGCATCAGAATCGTCAGCGTTGGAAAAGACCTCCGGGATCATCAGGTCCAACCATTGACCCACCTCATCTCACCAAACATGGCAGAGATCCCCGTCCTGTCCTCTGAGGGAACGGGCCGGAGCCTCTGCTGGGTCAGACCCACGTAAACTGTGGGTGCATTGGTAGATAGAGTGGTTCTACCACGTCAAAGGAGGGCTGTTTGCTAAGAGAGCCGCTGGGGACCATGGGGAGATGTTACCTGTGAGACCCGTTGTGGGGCTGACGTGCATCACAGCCCCACCTCCATGCAGGTCCCTGGGGAGGCACTGGGGAGGTGCAGGTGGCAGGGGCAGCCCAAAAAGATCTGCCTGTCCTGGGTCGATGGCCACAGTGATGGAGCTTTAGGGTTGGTGCAGATAAAGGCTCTGCTTTTGGAGCAGCTGCTGCCCTTGAAGTGCACTGCAGCCGTACCACGTGTGGGACAGAGGGCTCATTCTGAGGGCATCCATCCCCACACCCAATGGGGCAATGCTCACCTTCCAGCAGTGTGCTGCTGGCTGCCCTGCGCTCCTTTCCACAGCCGGGGTCCTGCTGTGTTTGCCTTTCCTCCACACGGGCAGCAGTCGCCGTCTGCAGATAATTGTTGGCAGTTTGTACCTGCGTTCTGCTCTGCTCCTATGGACAAGTCTGCTGAGCAGCTGCTGCAGCTGTGGCTGTTCCAGTTCACAGCAGGGAAATTGGGCCTTTAAGGATCCCTTCCTACTCAAACCATTCTGTGTTTCCATGCTCAGTGCTCCATCTCCTGACCATGGGTGTCCCCAGGAATGGGTCACCCACCACCTCTCCAGGCAACCTGTGCCAGTGCCTCCCCACCCTCCGTGTTCTTCCTTATATCCAATTCTCCCCTCTTTTGGTTTGAAACCATTTCCCTTGTCCTATCACACAGACCCTGCTGAAAAGTGTCTCCCTCCTCTCCCCCGGCCCCCTTTTGATTACAACGCCAGAGGGAAGGGCAGCAAATCCAGGTGAGCTGAGAATTGCACCCAATGCACTCATTCCTCCACGTGACACCAAATGTCACCTGAGCACCCGAAGGGATCCTCAGTGTGTCCTCAGTGTGCAATAGGAGCGCGCTGCTGCCCACTGCCCCACAGCATGGCTGTGCTGTGCCAGCCTGCGGCGCGGAACCCAGCAGCACTGATGTGGCACTGGTGCCATTCCTTCCAGAAATGGGAAAAGGACAGAAATAAGAGAGCAGCCAACTGCCTGTGAGCTCATTGAAAATAGCACAGAGGATCTGTGTACAGTGACTGAGGATAAAGCAGCGCCCAGCCAGCCTGGATTCATCGGGGCACGGAACGGCTTGGAAGGGAGAGGTTGGTTGAAAAAGGCCTCCAAGATCATCGAGCCCAAATATCAGCCCATCCCCACCATGCCTAACGCTGGAGAATCGAGCACCATCCCTAGGAGACATGAGGTGACACTCCTGGCAGTGGCAGTGCCACGGCCACGGGAGCAGTGGGACTCAAGTGAGTGTGGCCATGGCCACAGCACCACGCAGGTGAGGGCTGGTGCTGCTGTGCTCTGTGTCTCCATTGCCACACAGGTAAAAGCTCCGTGCTGCCAGCTGTCTGCTTCCAATGGTGCACAGCTGCTTTGTGTGCACCACGATGCTCGTGCTGAGTGGGGCTGACAAATGTGCCACGGCTACTTGAGAGCGCTGAGGTTGGAGCACAGCGTGCTGCTGCTGGCGCTGCTCTGCCCTGCTCCCCGCCTATTGCTGTGGGATCTCCACGTCACACAAGGAAAGCTCTCAGAGGAAAGATGGTCCTGGGAGCAAAAATAGCATCTCTGGAGCATCCGTGCTGCTGCTTCTCTGCATTTCTGTTCTCTTGACCTCGAGGCCGTGTGGTGCTTGCTGCCGAGCTATTATGAGCTGTGAGCACCATGTTCTGCCTCCTCTTCTCCCAGAGAGAAAACACTTAAAGGTTAAATATACACTGGGCATCGCTCTGCGAGTTCTGTGGTTGGAAATGCAGTCATAAAGCAAATGTTTGGGCATGCACAGAGTCGGGGGTCTCAGCTTTCCCAGGACGGCACAGCCCAGCAATGGCCTGTGAGCAGGAGATGGGCTCCTCCTGGGCACTTCTGGTGTGAGCAATTCCCCTCCCTCTGGAAGAAGAAAAATGTAACCCATTTGGTGTTGCGGAACTCCAGTCTGCATGCTCTGATCTCTTCGTGGGACATTCTTAGTGTTGTGCTTTGGAAACTGAAAGAACCAAGTCCAATGGTGAAATGAGGGCTGAACTGCAGAGGTGCCTTTTGGAGAGCATCTGGAGTGCAAGCGCTGAGATCTGCGCCATGGCTTCAGACTGAGCCCTGGGCAGATGCACTGGGTGTGGGACAGGAGCTGCGGGGGGGGGGCAGGCTGCTCCCAGCAGTGTTTGGCTTCTCTGCTTTGCAGACATCTGGGCACTGAAGGCATCAGGGAACGGAGGAGGCAGGGGCCAACGGCACAGCTCCTCCTGGACATCCAGAGCTGCGGTGCTGCGTCTCACTCTGACCCACTGCTCCCGGTGTGGGGAGGCGTTCGGGTCCCACAGGACCTCGTTGCTCCGACAGCAAAGCGCTCAGCTCTGAGGAAACGGTGGCTCCAAGCGGCTGTGGGAGAGAAATGCCAAAAGCATCAGCACCGACCCAAGGGAGCTCTGCTGTGCTGGGGCTGTGCCAGAGCAGAACCGCGTCTTGTCCAGGCTGTGCCGTGATCTCTGCAACCACAGAGTGGGGAGGGAAGCATCGTGTGCTGGGAGGACGAGGACTGTGAAATAAACAGCGATAATTGAAAAGCCTTCAAACAATGGCGCAGCGGCTGTGTTAGCAGAGCTGGCAGCACCAGCTGAGCCCGGCCTGGGAATGTGAGCAGGTGATGTTGGGCAGGGAGCACAGTGTGCACAGCCTGTGTGTCCCCACAGCCCCGCTGCGGGGCTAAAGGGGGGGAACATGAAGGGGGGAAAACGGCACAGCAAAGAGGGGTCCCTCACCAGGCACTGTGCCGTTGGCTGTCCCTGGGCACGGGGCTGCAGAGGTGCTCCGATGTGTTGCCAGCAGCCCCCAGGAGGGGCCCAAACCCGGTGCAGAGGGTCTGTGCTCCGTGTGAGTGAGGGTCCGTGTGTGAGCGGGGTGGCAGCGCACCCCAAGGCAGCGATGGTGTTTGGGAACTGCTCACTGCAGCCAACGCTCCCCAGAGGAGATGATGAGGATCTGAATGGGGCTGTGCCACTATGTGCCTTGCAAACCTGGGGGCTGGCATCCTCTCCGTGCCAGGCTGTGGAGCCCCTCACGCTCCTCATTCATCACAACTGCACTCAGCGCCGCTGCTGCAGGATCTCTCCGGGAAGGATCCCACCGCCTGCGCTGCGGCCCTACAGCATTTCTTACCTCACAGAGACCTCTAGAGTCCACAGCGGAGCACACGGCGTTTCTCCAGCCTCCAGCACGTGGTGCCGGCCCCACAGAGGCTCCCCTGTTTCCTGCTGTCTGTGACTGTACCAAGGGTGTGCCCTGCCCCGCTGCCCAGACCTTTAATGGTGACGCTGGATGGACCGGACCCAGCACTGACCCCAGCTGCGCTCTGCTCGTTGCTGACCTCCCATAGATCGTGCCCCACTGCCTACTGGGCTTGGTGCACACGGATGGACCGGGGCTGCCCCAGCACCTGTGGGGCGGCAGCGACTCCAACCCTGCATGGTGGGGCTGATCCTTTCAGTCCTGCTGTTTCCAGGTCCTCCCAGCTTGGTGCTGTGGGCACTGGTTGCTCTGACAGCAGACCCAAACTGGAAAGTTACAGCAAATGCTGACAGGAACGTGGGCAGGACTGAGTGTGACCGGTACTGATGGTACCAGAAACCTGCCTGGTGTTCTTCAGATGAATGAGATGCAGAGCTCCTGCAGTGAGGGCTGGGCAGGAGAGGGGCTGGAGGTGGGCAAAAGAGAGGCAGGATGAGGCAGGGAGGAGCAGGGCAGGTGATGGGCAGAGGGGGCAGTGGAGCAGGGCAGCACTGGGCAGCCAGGGGGGGAAGCACTCTGTGACTCTGTGTTGGTGTGCAGCTGATGGAAGTCCTGAAGTGTATCTGCTGTCTGCATGCATTGGTTGCATCTGTTGTTCTGAGCCTGAGGCAGTACAGCAATGGAACCCTGCAAGAAATCTCTGAATGACGGGCACTGCACTGCAAGCCGAGTTGTAGTGGATTCATACTGCTGGTTTCGTCCAAAAAGAACACAGCTACTCTCAATCACTTTGCTTTGGTTCTGGGTGGAAAGAAATCATCAGTTCACAGAGTCCTTAGGACTTCAGGCTCATTTTTCTGCCACATGGACGGATCTTCAACATGTCAGATGCAGGCAGATGTTTCAGTATTGTTTTGCATCCTTCAAACAAAGCTGTCGTTCCAGTTCCTTTGTTTGGCCACCATCTTGCATGTTAGAAATGCCTTTGCAATAGCAGTGAGTTATGAGTTATGCCGTTCTGGTGTTCTGGTCAGTGCTGGCCCAGACCAGCAGCTCGACCTGAGCAGAGACTCTGCAGCTGCTGTGCAGTGTGAGCACATCAACGCGGCTGCTGTGCTGTTTGCAGGTCACTGACTGTGGGTTGGAGTCAGAGGGAGGAACCCTTCCCACAGAGACAGGGGCAGAGCTGGGGGCTGCTGGGGAGGTTTTGGAGCACGAGAAGCCAGCAGGCACCTGATGGGACAGTGCTGGGCCATCAGCAGGGTGATGCAGGCTCTGCTGCGTGCACTGAGTGGGAGTGCAGCGCAAATGGTGGAGAGCAGGAAATGCCTTCACTCACCTGCAGGGTCACTTCTGGTTAATCTTTAATGCAGAGCAGTTTAAAAGCCCACAAAACACCACAGCTCCTGCTGTGGTTCAGGAGGGGAAGGTTTAACCACGGCCCTCAGCCTTCAGGGAGGACCCTCACTGCTCCCATTGGGGCTCAGCTGAGAGCTGGGCCGACCCTGTGGGATGTGTTGTGCCAGCATCGGTGTTCGGGCAAGGATTCCTGATTGAAAGGAGCAGAAAGCAGTGAGCTGACAGGTGAGAGAAATCTGCCTCTGTGCCTCTGAGTGGGATAAGGGCAGTCAGCACGGAATGGCTGAGGTGCCTGGGAAAGTCTGGGGAGGTCCTGCATTCCTGCAGGTCTGCCCGCATTCAGCTCTTTGTAGCCTCTCTGGGATGGGCCAGGGATACAAAAAGGGGGGATGAGGACAAGGGGAATGGCTTGAAAGTGAGACAGGGGAGGTTTGGGTTGGATGTGAGGAGGAAGTTTTGGAGCCAGAGGGTGGTGAGGCAGTGGCACAGGTTGCCCAAGGAGGCTGTGGATGCCCCATCCCTGCAGGCATTCAAGGCCAGGCTGGATGTGGCTCTGGGCAGCCTGGGCTGCTGGTTGGCGACCTGCACACAGCAGGGCTTGGAGCTGGATGAGCGCTGTGCTCCTGTGCAGCCCAGGCCATTCTGTGATTCTATGATCCTATGAAAAAACACTTTATATCATTTACAAATGGATCAACATGTTTCTGTGGGTGGAAACAGGGATAAACTGGTCCAGCAGAAGTTCCAGGGGTGCTCAACAACCCCCAAGACACCTGGTAGCATCAGAGCTGGTTTTATTCCTGACTTAACAAGAGCTCTCAGAAACTGATCTGAACAGATGGAGGCATTGTATTGTTTCATCGAATGGGGCTGACAATTGCCTGCCACAAAGCAAGCCAAGTGCCTTCTTGTGACAGTACGTAAGAGAGAGAACAGGAGCCAACCTGTTGCACAGCTCATGTGGAGGGACGGAGATGTTTCTCATTCAGACACAGTTCACGGGGGTTGATAGGCAAAGGTGAGTAGATTCTTCTGTGCAGCAAAATGCACCCAGTGAGGCCCTCAGCCTCAGAACGGCTCTGTTTGGAGACCAGCTGCACACAGCAACATGATGTGTCGATGGCGGGGGTTAACACACAGCATTATTTATCCTCACTCTTTCCCTTACTGAGCAGAACTGGGCTGACACCAGGAGCAGCAGCACCATGCATGAGCTCAACGAAAGCAGCTTCGACCCCATCACCTTCGTCCTGACCGGCATCCCGGGCATGGAGGAGTCCCACATCTGGATCTCCGTCCCTTTCTGCCTGATGTACATCACTGCACTGTTCAGCAACTCCGTCCTGCTCTTCGTCATCGCCACGGAGCGCAGCCTCCACGAGCCCATGTACCTCTTCCTCGCCATGCTGGCTGTGTCCGACCTGATGCTTTCGACCACGACGGTGCCCAAAATGCTGGCGATCTTCTGGTTCAGCGCCCGAGAAATTTCCTTCGACGCCTGCATCACTCAGATGTTCTTCACCCACTTCAGCTTCATCGTGGAGTCGTCCGTCCTGCTGGCCATGGCCTTCGACCGCTACGTGGCCGTGTGCGACCCGCTGCGCTACCCGTCCACGCTGACGCCCTCGGTGATCGGGAAGATCGCGCTGAGCGCTGTGCTCCGGGGCTTCTGCATCATGTTCCCTCCCATCTTCCTGCTGAAACGGCTGCCCTACTGCGGGCACAACGTCATGCCCCACACCTACTGCGAGCACATGGGCATCGCCCGCCTGGCCTGCGCCGACATCAGGGCCAACGTGTGGTACGGGCTGACCACGGCGCTGCTGTCCTCCGGGCTGGACGTGGTGCTCATCGCCGTCTCCTACGGGCTCATCCTCAGGACCGTCTTCCAGCTGCCGTCCCCCGAGGCTCGCCTCAAAACCCTGAGCACCTGCGGCTCCCACCTCTGCGTCATCCTCATGTTCTACACGCCTGCCTTCTTCTCCTTCCTCACGCACCGCTTTGGCCACAGCATCCCAGGCCACATCCACATCCTGTTGGCCAACCTCTACGTCGTGGTCCCACCGATGCTCAACCCCATCGTGTACGGGGTGAGGACGCGGCAGATCCGCGAGCGCGTGGCCCGGCTGCTCTGCCCTGTGGGGCAGTGCCCCCATCCCGGCTGTGGGAGCCGCTGCTGAGGGAAAGGGGACGCGGGATGGGGTCTGGAAGGCGGTGTGAGGTGTGCTTGCATTGGGGTAATGGGTTTGTCCACCAGGCTCTGGAGAAACTGAAGGGTTTTCGGATACGTGGGCCATCAGCCCCTTCATTGCTACTGATGCTGCCCCTGAGTGCTCCATGCAGCAGAGATGGGACACGTGGGTCGGATGAGGAAATGTCCATTAAACCACAACGTCCAATGCCACACTCAAAACCACACAACAAACAATCACAGAATCACAGAATGGTTGGGTTGGAAGGGACCTCAAGGATCACGAAGCTCCAACCCCCACCAATGCAGGGCCACCAACCTCCCCATCTCACAGCAGCCCAGGCTGCCCAGGGCCCCATCCAACCTGGCCTTGAACACCTCCAGGGATGGACGGGGCATCACAGCCTCTCTGGGCAGCTGTTCCAGCACCTCACCACTCTCTGAGCAAAGAACTGGAGGCAGACAATGGTCTCAAATCCTCGCATCCCATAGGGACAATTTTTTCTTACAGAATTGTTTCACAGCACAGCAGTGCTCAGTGTAAAGTGCACGTCCTTTGCTCCCATGCTGCTCTTTGATCACCCACCAATTTGGTGCTGTACATTCCACTTATCCTCCACCACCAGGAGAGCGTTGTCCAACATTTTCTCACTCCTCACTTTGGTCTACAGACCTGTTGTACTAATTGAGCTGTGTTCTGCCTGAAGCTGGTGGCAATCCGCCTCGGTGCAACGATGCAGAGTGAGCACCAGATGTATCTGGAGCTTCTCAGCCCCCTGGAAGCATCTCAGCCATGGCTCTGTCTGCTTCCATCGTGGAGGGAAGCACAGCAGTCCTTCCATCTGGAGCTCTGCATAGCATTCCTTAGGTGAGTGGGATTGCTCTGCTGTCTGGTCTTACGGCCCTTCTGACTCAGCGGTTAGGTGCCAAAATTTCCATCGCCCATGGGATGAAGAAGAAGAGTAGGAAGTGCACCAGAGCCTGGAGACCTGTTTTCATCTTTCCTTTGTGTTTTACTGGGTGTGGAGTTGAGATAAAGGCTTGCCTCTCCCCCCTGCATCATTCCTGCTTTCTGATCCGTATTTTCTACCCCCACTTGGAGACAATTTTGTGCCTGTATTGAGACTGAGGCTTCATGCATCCTGACCAGTGAAACCATCCTCATCTGGGCAGCAACCACAGCCCTGTGAGGGCGGTGATTTGGGGGCTGTGTCTGGAGGCTGACCCTGCACTCCCACTCCCACAGCAGTGCCAGGAGCCAGGATGCTCTGCTCCGTGTCAGCCGTGAGACCCACGGAACCGTGCTGTGTGGTGGAGCCAAGGGCACGAGATGGGCAGGATGAAATGGGCAGGGATGCAGCAACACAACCCCGCTGCGTTCCGGGCCTCCCAGTGACACTGCTGCAAGTTCAAGAGAAGAGAGAAAGAGATCCACAGTTTCAGAATTAAAAAGAAAACAAACAAACAAAAAAAAACAGTAATAATTCGTGGCACTTTCAGCACATTTCTTTTTTTCTTTGCGGTTTTATTTTTTTGTGTGTGCTTTTGTCAAAGCTGGGAAGCCCGTGAGAGGCGGAGCGGAAATGAAGGTCTGTTCACTCAGGGCTGTTTGCTTAGCAGTGATAACAGAGCTGGTGGAAATGCTGCCGTTCCCAAAGCATTTTTGTATCTCTCTTAGCAAAGGGTATTTATGGAGAGCAGCCCACGTGATCTCTGATAGGACGCTGCACTATATCAAAAGCAACAGGTCGGGAGAGCAATCTGGTGTAGCCAGAGCACGACTGAATACATTCAGCTGCAATGAGATGCTTTGGGGTTTTCAGAGCTGTCACAGCAGCCTGGAGGTTGGGGTGAGAATCTGGATGCTTGTGCCTGCAGGAGGCTTTGCAGGGTCCCCCCAGCCCTGCCCAAAGCACGAGCTGGTTGACAAACCCTTCTGCTGCAGAGGTTTCTCCCAGAAGGTTTCTGAGCAGCTCGAGTGGCAGCTGACCCGTCGTACAGATTCACTACTGCAAGGCAGTTCAGCTCCATGGAGTCCCAGCTCTGTGGTTATTTTTGCTGTCTTCTCTGCTTCCCCTTCTGTTGCCTCTCCTTGTTGTTGATCTGCAGGGTGTGCTCACCTCTAAGCACGGCAGCAGTTTGGCCACACGTGGCTGTGCTCAGGGCACGCGAGTTGGAGTCTGTTGCTGGGAATGGCCCCTCTTATCACTGCCCATCCTGGAGTTAGGGAGCAGTGGGAGCACGCTCAGCAGGAGCTGCACAGGTGAGAAACAAAGCAATAGACCCAGCTTCAAAGTGCTTCCAAGCCGAGTACTGGAAAATGCATAGAGAACAACAATAACAGGGCACTGGAGCAGCTTGCCCAGTGCTGTGGATGCCCCCTGCCTGGAGGCATTCAAGGCCAGGCTGGGTGGGCTGTGAGCAACCTGATGTGGAGGGAGGTGTCCCTGTCTGGAGCAGGGGGTTGGAACTGGGTGATCTTAAGGGTCCCTTCCAACCCAAACCGTTCCTGTGATTCTGATTCTGTCAACAGGAGAGTGCTGGACCATAGGTTGGTCTTGGCATCCCAGTGGCCAGAACAGCACCGTGCTCAGGTTCTGCTGACCTGAGGACCTCTCCAGTGCGTGGGAGCCTCTGGAGGGAAGGCATCCCTGCAGGCACCACAGTGTCACCCAGCTTGAGCAGCCAGCCCCCCTGGGATGGGTTCTGTGTGCACTGCGTGGGTTCACGGCAGGGATTCTGCTGCTCTTCTGGCTTTCCAAGAACACGAGGCACAGCCCTCAGCCCTGATGGAGCTGCTGGCTGGGTCAGGGTGCAGATCTCATGGGAAAATGTCCCTGGGTCAATGAATCACCAGCTGTGCAGTTAGTGCCCACAGGGGCATGCATAATAGGGTATTAGCCACTTGGTTGGGAAGATTTATATTCAGAGCGTGGTTAAAATGTTAGCTAAACAGCCTGCATGAGCTCGTCGTGCTCCAGGTGCTGAGTCAGGCTCCGAGCTGGGAGGGGGAAAGCTCTTCAGCTTCAGTGAGTGCTTCACTGGAGGGAGATGGAGAAAGCACAGCAGTCAGGGCGAACAAAGCCGCATGTGTTCGAGTGCCACATTTATATTCATTCCTACCACTGCCTACAGCAGCGCTTTATTAATTGCTCTTCATCTGCAGGCTGCAGTGGGTAATAAATTACAGTAGCAAAGCTGAGTGATCTCACTGCGTCTCACTGCTGTCATCACCGCGTCTTAGTAAATGTTAATTAATGAAAATCCCCAGCCCACTCGTAAATGGAAAGCCGTACATGGCACATCCTGGTACTCTGTCCTGCCCTGACGTGTTTGAGGTCCCCAAAGGTCCTCGAAGGTTCTCGGAGGTCCTCAAAGGTCCTTGAAGGTCCTTGAAGGTTGCCATGTTGAGGCCGTGGCAGTGGCTGCGGTTCCTCTGACCTCAGCACCCAATGCTTGGTGCGCCCGGGGTTTCTGGAGAAGGAGCAGTCCCATAAACTCGTTACTCTCTTCTAAAATTGGACACGAGACAAAATCAGCAGTGAGTTTTGCAGCACGAACGTCTGCTGGTCTCCACCGAATTCCTCTCCATCGAGGCTCACAGAAAGCCGAAACGGGTCCTGCTGTGAACGGAGCGGCGCCTCTCGGCTCCTCCGCGGCCCCGGCAGCCCCCGAGCGCCAGCAGGAGGCAGCGATGGCACACACATGGCCGCGGTTGGGGCGGCGATGCCTCGGGCGGTTCACTGAGGACGGCCCGGAGGTTTGCGGGGCTGCAGCCCCCGCCCCAACAGCGGGGCTCAACCTGTTGACCTGGGCCGTGAGATCCGCGTCGCTCCTGGGGGAGCAGAGCTGACGACGCCCCGCGGAGCCCCGGGGGCACCAAGCAGCCGCAGCTGGCCGTGAGCGGGACGGCAGCGCTGGCGCCCGAGCGTCGCGGTCCTGCTGGGCTCCCTGTGGTCGGGTCGAGGTCCCTGAGTTCCGATGGGATTTCTGGTTCCAGAGGCAGGTTCTGAACTCTGACTCCCTTCTGCTGGCTGCTCTGCCAGCAGCATCCCTGGGCAGGAGGTGCGGTGCGGTGTGCCTGCCTTCTCTGTGGAAGTGGGAATTTTCTGAAGGATCCTTCCAGCCCTGAAGATTTCGCAGTTACATCAGGACCAAAACGTGTCCCAGAAAGGCACCCATGGGACGGCTGTCCCAGGAGCTCAGCTGTATGTTTTGCTCTGGTTCCCACCAGCAGTGGACAGTTGGGTGCCAAAGACTCCTTACTTCAGAGACTCAAACAGCAGAAACGAGGCTGCCAAGTGCAAGTGGAGGGACCTGAATAGAGGAGAGGAACCTGATGGACCAAACTGCCCAGTATTTAGCACTTCTAGATGAAATACAGCTCAGAAGTGTGAGTGTCTGAGACCTGAGCCTTGCTTATCGCGAGCTCAACTCCCCCTTATGCTGTGTTTTACATGCTGGCCTTCTTGCCAGTGCACTGATTCACCCAATGCATTCTTTGGCATACCCTCATCTCACTCCCATCTGCACAGAGGAGCTGCCTGTGCTTTATTCTATCGTGACTCAGATCATAGAATCATAGAACCACAGAATCCTAGAACCATAGAATGGCTTGGGTTGGAAGGGACCATCAAGCTCCATCCCCTCTGCTGCAGGCAGGGCCACCAACCTCCTTATCTAAAACTAGATCTTCAAGGCCAGATGGACGGGGCTCTGAGCAACCCAATCCAGTGGATGGCAGCTCTGCCCATGGCAGGGAGGTTTGAACCAGATGATTTTTGAGCTTCCTTCCATCCCAAGCCATTCTGCAAGTCTGATGCTGCGATCTTGCCCATTTTCAGATTATACCTTCTCTAGCCTTTGGGAGCTGTGGTCAGCTGGAAGCCATCAGGTCCAGATGGGCTGCAGGAGCTGCTGGAGGCCACCAGACCTGAGGGTTCTGCAGGCATCGCCAAGCCCAGCAAACCCAGACAACAAAACTGCCCTGTGCCAGTGCTAAAATGGAGGAAGGGGATGATGGGAGAAATTGGACACTCCTCAGTTTGACATTAGCTCCAAACAGCAC